GGGTTTAGGGTTTAGGACAAGGTTTCGGGCTTAGGGCTTAAGGGTTCAATCTTTGAAAGATAGACCAACAATTGAGGCCCAACAAAGGGTCCGAACCTTCTAAGATTGATCAAATATGCAAGCCCCAACAAGGGCTCGAATTTTCTAAGATGGACCAGATATAAAAGAAAAAAAAGCAAAAAAAGAAAGTTCTCCCATTGGCTAAGTAAGCTTCTGCTTGCAGGCTTCCAGGCCGCCGTGCTCTCGCTTCGGAGTCAGCCCAGCGTTCTTCCAGAGGAACTTCACATTCCTGTGCTTTAGGGTCTATGGTGTTTGGCTTCAGGGTTTAGGGTTCAGCGTTCAGGTTTAGGGGTTTAGGGGTTCATGGTTCAAGCTTTAGGGGTTTGGGGTTCAGGGATTTAAGGCCCCTTTCTATACACGTAGGGCTTTTGTTCCTTTCGAAAAGCCTATTGTGCACTGTATTGAAACTGAAGACTACTCCATCAGTGGCCGAAGCTCAACCTCCCCGTCTGGAATAGGACGGCACAGATGACGACGAAGATGGCAATCAAGAGTGATGGAATGGATCGAATGCTCCAGTTGTACCCCACAGTCATCCCTACGATCGGGTCAACGGCGCACGCGCTTAGAATACCAACGACTGTCTGGATGAGTGACTTGGTGACCGTCGAGAAATTCTTCACGACAAGCCCCGCCCACCACATCTGTCCGACTGTCAGAGAGAGCAGCACGACGTGAATTCGGCTCCATGAACCGAACATCACATCCGTCCTCGAGCCCCACTCACCATCATTGAGGAAGTACCTTCAGTCGGAGCCCCGAAAAACAAGCAGAGCCCAGACCAAATCCAAGCGTATACTTGGTCTTCCTACAAAAGCAAGTCCTCACCAAGGTTTACGTTTGCAGTTACGTTTGCAGTAAGGCTTGCTTGAAACACACAGGTTCAACTAATGGTACACCAGTACTTAGTAATTAGTGTCATAGGGATGTCCGACGTAGAACCGTACGAGCGGCACATGTGCAGGTGAACCGATGCATTGAGCTCACCAAGAACAACAACAAGCCAACCCTTGGTTCATACTTGAAGCCTAAACAAGTCATACCCATGACCTTAAAACCTCAGACCCAACACTGACGCGCTACACCCTAGACCCTAAACCCTAGACCCTAAACCCCCTACACCCTAAACTGTACACCCTAAACCCTAAACCCTAAACCGCAAACCAATGAACCTCAACCCTTCGACCCCAATCCCGACACCTGCTTACTTCAAACCTCCCCACACACACCCACTCTTTCAAAAGGGTTTGGGTTTAGGGTTTAGGGGTTTAGGGGTTCAGGGGTTTAGGGGTTTTGGGGTTTTGGGTTCAGGGGTTTAGGGTTTAGGGTTTAGGGACACACCCAGTCTTTCAAAAGGAGAGACTGCGCAATCCAGACGGTCACCCCCAGCACAGAGCACACCAGGTCCAGGTGCACCCTATGGATGTAATACCTGAAAGAGAGTTCTGGGTTTTGGGTTATGCGTTGCAAGCCCTCAGGACTCAGGACCGTGCCCTTGGAAGCTCAGGGGGACGTAATAACAACCAAAACTAGGCGGTGCATAGGGACCCTTAAGGGGTGTAGGGGGAGGGGCTAGGGGCCTTAATACCAGCAACACGGACCATAAGGCCCATTTAAGGAAGTATAGTCCCGTAACCCCCTCCCCCCTGCCCCCGAAGATCCCTATGACCTAACAAACCCCATGCTCCTTTAAGTAGAGCGCTCGGAACTCGAAACGCTCCGAAATGGAATTCCTGAAAAGGCCCAAACACCTTCCATGCATGGTGCCATCGTCACCGCCGGCCAGGCGCCCTCTGTGTCGGTTTTTGAAAATCCGCTCGGCTAGAACCGACGCCACGGCACCCAGCGAGATGGCAGCAATGGCAGCTAACATCCCAGCAAAACTTTGCTCCCGATGGTCAAAGGTGAAGATGTTGCAGAAGTTCAGGTTGCACCTCTGGCGCATGATGAAGAAAGCCGGGGCGGAGAAAACCAACATGGACAGTGACAGCCACTCCAGCTTCCCGTAGAGTCTGTTGAAAACAAAGAAGCTCACAACAGCAGCGACAATGACGTACAGGTTGTCCATCATCATGTAAATCCTCGGTGCTTCTCTGTGCGAAGATTGGGCAACCGGAATTACACTCCTGATGTTCGCCCTACCGTTACATTGCAGGGGAGACCCCCACAGGAAGCCCTATTCTAAAGACTACAGCACCTATACTAAACCCACAGAGCCCGTTAAAGACCCTTAAAGCAGCCATTACCATGCTAGAAAAACAGAATGATGATAGAATGCAGAAACAAAGGGGCACTTTTAACTCTCTTTACGCGAAAGTGTCTGAACGTTCACAGCTACGGCATTGCCTTCATGGCTTTCATCGCCTTCATGGCCTGCATGGCCTGTCCTGCGACTCCGAAGGGAAACTGCAAATTGAGTCGGATGGTTTTGCGGTGTGCAAGCGTCGCACGCTGCACAGGTCATCCCAGAATCGCCTGTTCTTCGTATGGTTGCGGCATCAAGAGGGTGCCTGCCATTGCTGCCACAATCAGCTCCCTGGGAGCACTGCCTTTTGTCATGGCGTCGGCCACCATGGATCGCGTATCAGTCCAAAAGAGCTTACGCAATCTCCCCTTAGCAAGCAGTGAGCGTACCCAAGTTACGTGAAGCAACAGCGACGGTTCAGCAGGCACTTTGATATTTGGCGCAATAACAGCAGAGCTTACTGATTTTGCATCAATAGCAAGGTCAAGGTTGACGTCGTTGCTTGGTATGTTGCCTTCAATCAACTGTCGAGCGACGTCCAAGGATACCTTGCCATGGCGGAGTTCATAAAGCATGATGCTGTGAAGAAGCCCAGTATCAATTGCGTCGGTGGCTGCAAAAAGCTCTGAACTGAAGGTGCTTCTTGTCACATGCCGCTGGGCTTTACTTGCGAAATCAACCAAATGACATGTTGTATCGCGACATCCTTCATGTACAGCAGCTGAACACACACGCAAGCTAATCAACCCACGCACTGACAGGCCGTCTTCGGCCTTTGCTCTGTAGGATGAGTCTGAAATTTGCAACAGCGTGTCAGGATACTGCATGGCTGGATAAGACATCTTGCGAGGATTGCGCTGCAGCCACGTCAAAAGGACGTTCAGCCTTTTCACATGTTGCACCTGAGCCTTGTGTGACTCTCGTTGCAGCGCTACCACAAAGACAGCGACGTCAGGTCGAGTCAACAGCGCGTACGCCACAGTCATCAACAAGCTCAGGAACAACCTGCGCCCAGCCTCTGGCAAGAAGGCATCGGCTTTACCGCTCAGCGCAATAGGATCGGAGATCACCTTACAAGCGGCGAGAAACTTAACTTGATCCAGGTGGATGGTCCCATCATCATCCTGGAGGTGGTGAACACCACAAAACGTGAAATCCTTCCAATCGATCTCCAGCTTGCCGAATGCACGACATAAGTGAGCGACAAACTGCTCGATCAACTTGCGAGGGCCTATCATCTTTAGGTCATCGACGTGCTTAATGATTGCCATTAGCAACTCGTACCCATGCTCATCGAAAAGCATTTCGAGCTCGGGGTCGATGGTTGAGCCTACCATGCCAAACTCCCTAGTCACCTTACGAAGCTTCATGCTGAAGCAACGAGGGGCATCTCTGCATCCTGTTCCAGGCTTCAAGCAATGTAAGACTTCTGTGACTGGGTTGAATCCCTTGAAGTTGGGCATGCTCTGCAGACATTTTAGACCATCACCTGTGAGCTCAAAGCTGACATCGCGCATGGGCTTGCCAGTAGCGTCAGCAAGCTCCTGATATGTGATGCCCTGCAGAAAGGCTTTAGGCACGTCTGAGCTGGCTATACACCAGCCACGAATGGCACATTCGGACACTATGACCCGTTGACTGAACCTCGATGCTGTGGCGGCGAAGTTTGACTGGTCATCTGCCCCTGATTCCTTGAACCCACGTAGACACAGCCTCGCACGTATCTTCCGTTCGCCTTTGACGATCTTGAATTTGAACACCCACCTGACATCTATGACGCAGGGAGCTGACTTCCGAGGTCGCCGGCAGAAGCACTTGTAGCCTTCCCATGTCTTCAGCTCGTCAAGGATCGCCTGCGTTACCGCAGGTTTGTTCTGCTCCACCTCTTCAGGAGTGAGCAGATCGTCAGAGCGCTCGATGATCACCTTTCTACAGTGGGTCTCATAGATCCGCAACTCCACGTGCTCATCGGCATGCGGCAGACGGTCCAGGCCCTCAAAAAGCTTGCATTGATCACCATAAGCTTCAACAGCAACGTATGTTCCGATGTCGTCAGAGTCAAGAGCCAGGTATGATGCAGACTCAGCATCACAAGCAGCAAGCGTTGCACCGAAGGACACATCTGACTCGGAGTCCTGTTGCCTGGCACATACTTCCTGCCATGAGGGAATCTCAAGATCCATGGCCAATGTGCCATTGGCATGCCGGATGAAGTCAGGAACTGACAGCACAGTTGGCCTTTCAGGGGCATCTTCAGATGCACAGGCAGCGTACGCTTGCTCGAGGGCTTCCCGATCACAGGCCTTGATGGAGTCGCCAAAGACTTCACATAAGGCTGCCCAGCTCACTGATTCAGATGAGCGACCCTCAGACTCGTTCGATGCTTCAGGGATCGTTGACAAGCGAGCTGCGCTCCCTTGGCTCTGTGTTTCGCTCTCAGGTTGCATCTCTTGTGTCTCACTAGGAGCTGGCACTGACCATCGTTGAACTGTTGCCCATTCCTCCTCCTCGGGGACACAAAGAAATTGCATGCAGCGAAAATCCGGCCACGCCTGTCCCAGCAAGTCAACCACTGACAGCTTAGAGCCATCAGCATGCAAGAAGCTGAGTTGCTTGGATCCTTCTTGCATCCAGTAGACACACAGCGAGGAGCTGAACTCTTCACGTGGAGTCAGTTGGCGCACCGCTTTGCACAATCGAACAGCAACCACGCTCCGAAGGCAGAAAACAGTCTCAGCTATAAACATACAAGCCTGGTAGGTGGTTCGATGGCTTGCAGTTTGGGCAGATTCCACCCAGTGGCCTGACGCAGTGCGTACCTGGCCCAAAGTGAGGACACTGCCAGCTCTCAATGCATCAACAACTAGCTGCACGTGGTGCTGGGCGTGGTTTGCTTGACTGCCTGCGGGCGACGTGTAGTCGGGATGGCCGAAGTAGGTTGAGAGCTCTTCCGACCACAGTGTCAGACTGTGTCGGACATCCTGCAACCTACATGTGATTACCTGATCGGTGTTCGTGCGGATGCCTATGCGTCCGTGCTCAAGCCTACTGAGGTCAACCACAGTTCCTGGGCCACGCCATCCGGAGGCGTCCTTATGCGCAGGAGGACGGTGCCAATCAACTGACTGACCGACTTTGAACTCAAACTCTGCGCCCGCAGGCTGTGTCTTGCTATGCAGCGCACGCTTCATGCGCTCCCTCGCAGTGCCTTCGGCGATAGCCTGAACGGCTATTTCACGTACACGGAAGATATGTCTGGAGCAATCGTCTGGCACATTGTCACTCATCATCGTATCGTCGCTGGGCAGGATGGCTGGAATTCTGCCAATCACTGCAGCGTACGGGGACATGCCATTCATGGAAGACAGTGCATTGATGGCAAAAGTTGCCTCAGCAACTATCCGGGGAAATGCAACTGGAAGGCCCTCCTCATGCAACTGGGTCCCAAGCTTATGCACCGTGTCGCGCAGGACTTGTATCTTGCGATCAACAATGCGCGTGTGCTGGCCAGGGGCAGAGGTGCGCTTGGAAATGCCCTTAAGCTGGAAGAAGACTGTGGATTCGTCGTCATCCAGCCCGGTTTCACCATCAAACAGCAGAATCTGCATGGGGCCGTAGATTGCGATCCAGCATGTGTCCAGTGCGGTGAGAAGGGTTGGTGTCTGACGATCAGAGATCACGGTCGTGGCTACCCACCGAACCCCTCTATCAGCCAACACTAAAACCGCATGTTGCCTACCTTCATGACGGCAGAACATAATGTCCCCTTCAACCTCGATGTTGAATCCTACGACCATTCGGCAGGTGGCTTTGGCATCGTGCTGCGGTCGCGACCAATGCCTGCACACCTTACATGTGTCCTGAATGGCTGGGACCAAGTCCAAGATGTCCTTGCCAAGACCTGCTGTCTTGAGGATGCGGGTCATGCGGTCGGTGGAGGAATGCCACCACCTCAAATGTAGCTTTCGCAGGATTTGCCGGCGCTGCGCTTCAGTTCCGTGCCGTAGGCCTCGTAATGAAGCTTGCACATCAAAGGAAGTCCAATCAGATGGTGATGGAGTCTGCACGTCGGCCTCTGACCACGTTCTACGCTCACGAGGCTCTAGGTCGGGCCCACGGTGGGCACGAGGAGGTGCAGGGTCTGTGCTACCTCTGGCTGGCTCAGCAGCGTCATCAGCCGGCGCTGATTCAGCTTGCCCTTCGGCTTGCTGTCCCAAACTCGAAGCACGCAGTCCTGCAGTAGGTTCGGATTTGGCGGGTTTGCGGCCATACGGTCGCCGCTGCACTGAAGTGCGAGATGATGTGACGGCATGTCTGCAATCGGGGCCATACGTGTGACTGGGATCAGCACGTGTTTTGTGAGCAGCACAGCCAGGACATGTGAACTCAATAGACTCAGTGTCGGGGTGCTTGCACTCGCCCCGCGTCCTGGTATGAAGAGGATCATTCTTGTTGAGACGCCACAAACAACCCTTGCACTTTCGCCATGACTCACTCACAGCTACTTCACCCTCATCGCCGGGGCCACTGCCAACCGAAGGGAAGGAAGCGGTGGTTGCAGACGCCATGTTGGGTGCGACTGCTGCAAACACGCAACTCTTGCCTTTAGCAAGCTGTGAGATCAGGGCTTCAATGCCGCTGGCGAGGCGTTGGCACATGTTGTATGTCCACCGAGTAGCAACCTCAATGTGCCCTGGCAGTGCAAGTGTATGGCGATGTGATTCATCGCACTGCAAAGCAGAAAAGTTCTGAAGGATTGGCAGGGCGTTGCTCACGAGCTCAGTGGGCCTTTTGCAAAACGCACCATTGACTTTCTGGCCTGTCATGCACTGATGG